TAAAATAAAATGATATAAAATATGTAAAATGAAAAAAAAACCGCTGTAAAAAGCACCCAATTTTGTGTTTAAGCATTCGAATTTATTTATTATTTTTTATATTCTCTGTAAAGCTTATTTATTTCGTCTAGATTCTGGCTCAGATAATTCGGATGAGTCATTGCTTTTTTCTTTGGCAACATGCATAAGCTTTTGGAACAAGCCTTGGCATTTTTCAAAACTCGTTCTAGAACTATAGATTTAGGATGATAATTTGACCAAGCATTATTTTATCGGAATATTTAGAAGTGCCTGTGGATTTTTAAAAATTAAACAAAAATTGTTCTCAGTCTCATAACAATTTTCCAAGTAGTTTTGCATTCAAAGAAAAAATTTTCACATAACGAAATTATATGAATTTATATATTTCTATGTCAATCCGTCTAAAATTTTTAAGCTCATATTGTTGACGAAAAAAGTGCTAAACAAGTGTTTACTTTATTGTATAATTGAATTATATATATATTTTTACGAAAAAATTATTGATTTTGTTATTTTTTATGTGTATATGTTTCTAAAGTTTTATGCACATAAAATTTTAATTTAATGATCGATTGAATAAATTGTTTAATGAAATTTTCTCTCAAAAAAAAAAAAAACAAATGTTTTCAAGTATAAAAATTAAGAACTCTGAAAATTGTATATTTTTGAAATTTTCTCACAATTGTCTATATACAAAAATTATATTGAGGTATGAAAATAAGTACTCTTATATGTATATAGTTGGATAGTGCTATGTCAGTGGGTTATATAGAAAATAATTAGATGATTTCAAAGTAATTTTGCTGTTTCTAAAATACATATTGATAGATATGTGTTTTGGAAAAAAATAAGAAAAGAGTTGTTTACTTGAATGTTTTACTACACTCCATGGATATATATGTTATGTGTAATAGCTAATAATTTTTGTTTCGAATTTTTTCAAAATAATTTTTATTAATCAAAATGTAGAAATAGTAAAAGCAATGCTTCCAATTAGAACAAAAAACTAAAAACTCTGACAACAATTGCATTCTCTATAATAATAAATAATTTGTGAGTGTGTGTATCGACAGCTGCTCATTCAATCCCTCCATATTTAACACTTCATTTCAATATTCACTTTTATTAGAAAAAACCACAAACCTTTAATGCCTAATAAAAGATTTATCACAAACTCAAATTGGCAGATCACTAAGATCTTTGTAAATAAATGTAGTTTATAGTATATTTTATATTTTTTTAAAAGCTTTGCAAGCGAAATTCCACGTGCTCGTGCCGCAGTAAACAATTTAAGTTGAAATATTTGCAACAATAATTGTTATTGTATTTAATTTTTTTTCTTCTTTTTTTGAGAAAATAATTTAACTTTTTTGCGCCAACTTTTGTTTACACGAATTTTCTATATTTTCTATATTCAACACGATGCCGCACAAACACGTAAACACTTTAAATTGCGATGCAGGTTTAATTTGAGAAGAATCTACGCAGTCAATTGCTAGCGCGATTGCTTAGTCACGTCTCGAAAATGTTTATAGATTTCAAATGGAAATAAAATAGACACAATAAAAATACTAGCGAACGCGTTCGTTAGTTATTTAGTGTTAAATTATAATGAAATTTGCGCGTTTAAATAATTCAATTATTAATTTATTATTTTTATTATTCTTAGGCGCGCTTTCATTCAAACAATTCGTAATTTTTTACAACACTCTTTCTAAGCTTTTCTAGTTTATTTTGTTCCAAGTTCACTTTATTCTTTTTATTTAATATTTTCAAATTTCAAATAACTTTTTTTTTTTGCACACGTGCATTTGCCTAGTTTAGAAGTATATAATATTTTTTGGAGGATACTTCAAGTTATACTTGTGTTCGCGACGCGCGTTCACACTGTTCTTGCGCTTCGTTCCTACACTTCTTTTCTCTTGTTCTTCCTGCAGCTAAGCACATCAGACGCTCGCATAATCGGTTAGCCAGTCGTTAGCGCATTAGTTTGTAACTCGCGGCGGCAATACGTTCATTCGTGCGCACTTGCCGAGTCGCGTAATTCTATAATGGCTAAAATCGCTAAGGCAGCTGAATGTCAGTTGGTTAGCAAGTCGAAAATAAAACGGCAAACGTGCCTTTCGATCATCGACGATGTACTCGCTTGCCTTTCGAGTGTAACTTAAGCGTAAGTAAACGCGCTACTAAAACTACAGGTACAACAAAACGTACTCTCGCACACGATCACGACCGACCTTGCTTCGTCAACACTGTGTGACACACTGAAGCTAAAGTCGTAGCTGTAAACTGTATGCGAGCAGCGCGCAAGTCGCACCACCACCACCACCACCGGCACTAACAACAACCAACCATACGATCTGCCGACCAGGTATGGTCACAGATGCGCTATGGCAATGGAAGCAGCAAACAGACCGTGAAAACAGTGGTGGAAGCAAGCAATCTACACCCTGTGCGTTGCGTCTTCTTCAGTACTGCTTCTGCTGCGCGCTTACCTGGTTGGCTAGCTTCCACCGCGTTTGTTCGCCGCTTCGTATTGCTCGGCTGCCACTGTCCGCTTGCGTGTCATTTCAAGTTCGAACGCCAACACGTTGCTTATAATATAGCTACATGCTTTCTTATGGATCGCGCGCTCTTCGAACTGTTAAGTTTGCGACGCGGGTGCCTTTGGTTCTTGATATCGAACTTCCGCAGCGTTGCGTTCGGTCCAGGAAGTAACGCGAGCCGCTGCTTAGCGCGATGTGGTGTTCTGCCGCTGATGTTAGGGCGCAACTATACCGGAAGTTTTTAAATAATGCGCCTGTGGTGGTGCTTGGTAGAGCTTATTGTGGCTTAATGTTTGCATATGGCCGCATATGCCATAGGAAGGAGAAAACTGGAGCAGGAAGCGCATGTCTAAAAGGCAGCGGTAAAGGCGTGCAAAAAACTGCATGTGAAGTTAATATATCTACTGCAATGTGTGTAAATATTTATATTAATTTTTTATAATATTCCTACTTATAATGCTTTCAATTCATATAAGTTATTTTTCCTTAAGCGCATGTTGGGACATGAAGTTTACACGACTAGCGTGGGAATAATGATAATTTTAGAAAGTTCTCTTTATGCAATGTCTTTTTTATTATTTTTCTTCTCTTATCAGTCATTTGGTAATTGACCAAGAGCTTTTAATTTGAGTTTTTTATGTCTTTCTCTTTATGCTTTCACTAAAAGCTTTCAAAGCTCTTGGTCGAACCGCAACTTTAGTGGCCAAAACTCACACTATAGTTCAATCGGTATAGCTTCAAAAGCTCCAGGGCAATATTCTAAACATTAATCAGTATGAAATTTGATCCTATTTAGATTGGAAGTATAAATTCAATTAAATGTTAGGGAAATTTTTTGTATTAAGATTTTTACTTCAAAAGCTCTGTTAAGTTTAAAAGCTCAGTGAAAGCACTATATTGTAAAAACTTCAACAGTTTAGAAATATCTAAGCAGTTGGAGTTTATAAAAGATCCAGGAGGGGAAACTTACAGTACAAAAGTTAAGAGAAAATTTTATTTCACATCTTTAGTTCTACCATTAAAAGTATGGAATATCTCAAGTTATTGATTGGTAGGCTACTTTCTTGAATTTTTACTCGACATTAAGTAAACACAACATTTTGATAACACTTTTCTTATCACGTCAAACTACTTACACGCAATACCAAATTTGTTTTTATCAATTTGTTCGAAGTAAGCCTTAATCCCAATTATCCAAACGCCTACGCTAACAGAAAGCAACAACACTACGCGCTAAGCAACCACATCAAACTTGTTCGAACCATACCGAACAGGCCGAGCGCACATGCAGAAAACAACTTGTGAAATTCAAACCAGACAACGCATGCTTGAGTTTGATCGTAAACGATATTCAAAGTAGAATCGACGATCGATCGTGTGGTGTTGACTTAGAGACCGACGATAAACGAACCACCATATCAGAGCAAATACGTGTGAGTGCGACGCTGAATGCAAGAAACAACACACGAAAAAGAGACGCATAGAGTAGACAACGAGATCATATGTGCGATCTTGTTGAAAAGGCAGCCTGAAACAGCTAATGGGACACACAAATGCAAAAGATAATGAAAAACACACGCACACTTCTCGGTGTGTGTGGTTGTGCAAAATCAACATAGCTATTTACAAGTGTAGATATGCATGGTGCGATGGATGAATGAATGAGCGCGAAATTGTCGAGGCTTCTAACCAGTTGGCTTCTAACAGATGGCGTATAACAGTTGACAAATATACTCACAGGCACACGAACTACTCACAAGCCTCACATTCACACATACACATATGAACGCTAACTAGTGCCGTATAACAGTTGCGCCGTTGGCATTGCAAGCCACAAGCCCGCCAGCCAATAGAACGCTTCGGCGCATGCACGGCGGACACTAACACTAATGCTGCGCTAACGCATGCGCACAAAACACAAGCACAGCTGATGATGGTCGGACCAATTGCAAACGTTGGAGCGACTATTAGATGATAATAGAGCTGACAATAGAGAGCGGGCAACCCAGGGGGGTTGGCGACCATATTGTAGTGCGCGACAAGGCGGCGACGTTGGACAATGGCGATAGCGCAGCTTTAGCCACGCTTTGCTTTTGAAAATTAAACAGAAAAGAGTGAACATACACACAAACATATGCACGAAGCTTAGCTGAGGGGTTGTGGTGACAAGATGGGATTGAAAACGCACGCGCCCTGTGGGGAACACTCATGCGTGTGCGTAACGCACTTTGCGCCGCTCATGCGCACAACTTGCAATGGACGCCAACTGATGCACTCTCACTTCAGCAACAACATAATAGAGAAAAAAAAAACAACGCAATAACACAAATACATTGACAAGTGAATATATACTAACGCTAACGCATAGCGTGCCCAGTGGCAATACCAGCGGATTGGGGGCCAAGTACTTTGGGTTCGCTGCAACGCACTCACCTTGGTTCCGCCGTGCTGCTGATGATGTGCTGTGCCGCTTATCACGCCACCATTGGTGATGCTGTTCGTCGCATCGACGATGGTGCTGCTGACGCCGCTTTTCGGCTCCTTGCGTAGATCTTCCGGTTCGCGTTTGATGCTGATCGTCTGTTGAGCTTGTTGTTGTTGCGCTTGACGCTGCTGCTCGGCGGTGACCACTACAGCTGTGGCGCCACCAGCTGCCGCTGCTGCTGCGGTGGCCGCTGCCACAATTGCCGAGTGCTGTGATATGGTTGTTGGTGTTGTGGCTGCGTTGCCGTTGCCACCGGCCGCCGATGGGTGTGAACCAAGCAGCAGGCCTTGGAATTCATTTTGCGATAGGCCGGATACGTCCAGAGGTGTGGTTTGCCCATTCAACTTGTTGTTGCCGGCCGTTGGTGTGCTGCAAAGGAATCGCAGAAGAGAAAAGAGGAAATTAGAAAATAGCAAGCATAATTAGATAAGTAAATAAGTTAATAAGTAAACTGCGTGAGCGAGTTTCATACTGCTAAGCAACCCTGTTCTGGTATCGTCTGGGTTGGTTTGTTACATGTTGCAGCTGTTGCATGCGCGACAAATTGACAATTGGCTGTTGCAATCAACGCGCGTTAAAAGTGCAATTGGCGTACTCTTTCCTGCCGCTGATAACAATTTTCAATTTGTATTTGACTAATGGCTGTTGCTTTGTCTTCACGTCGGTCTTTGTTTTTCGTCGCCGCCGTTTAACGGTTAGTCACGGACATGTACGAATGTTATTGCTCTTGAATGTTGCTGACGCGTGCGCAAATTTGTGGCGCTGTGCAAAATTAGTGCAATGGACTTTGGAACTTTGCACTTTAAAATGAATGGACAGAATTATGGGTGTAAATAATATTTAAAAAAATAAAAAAAAATTTATTAAAAATAAAAATGTATTCTTATATACTAAGCAGACAAGTTTACTTATGTAGAGTTACTAAAAAATATTAAATATTTGAATTTGCTAAACAGGTTATATATGTCTATTGCGAAAAGAGAGTTCGCTAAACTCTTTATGCGTGCTAAGGACCTGTTATTGCGAAAAAAGGGAATATTTAAATTTGCTTCTACAAAGCTAATGGCTAAGAATTATTGAAAGACCATGACAGTGGACATGTGTTAAAATAAAAAAAAAAAATTTCCGATACCTATACAGTTTTGTGTTAAACTTATAATTATATAATTGGATTTGTGAAGTAGTAAAAATTTATTCGAGGACCGAGGGCTTGTTCTTTCAGAATGGTCGCTTTTATTTTAATATAGAAAATATTAAAGATTCAAATTAAATAAAAAATATTATTGTCTTCCCATTCATTATTCGCACGCCGAAACTAATACTAATAATATCCATTACAGTTTCTAGCAGAAAATACTCTATTTTTATAAAACCTACATATACGTATATATTTTTGCTTATATTATATATGACGCTTATACCTTTGTTAAATTCTTGATGGAGCTTCTTTCTAAACAAGTGGTGAACAACTTCACTGACTGTTTATCGACACCAAAAATTATGTTTAAATCGACTTCGACTGGCTTAATAAATTTAATTTATTTATACTGAAACTTTTGAAAACGGTAAAAAGTGAGAATTATAATAGTAGGATTAAACTCATTGGAAAAGGAAATGAATATAACAAAAATTAAAGAAAAAATAATTTATGGGTGCACTGAGGTCAGGAAGTGGAAAGGAGGGAGAGTGGTAGAGTTTTTACAGGTATAAAACGGTTTATCTCGATTTCCGGAAAAACTAAAAGTCTACTGGAGACAAGTTTTACAACTTTTGTGCTCACACTTTTTCCACATAATCTCAAAATTTACGTAAAAAATCAATTTACCAAGTTTTATTTTTTTTATTTTTATCTTTTACATAAAAACTTTTCTTTTAGGAAATTTTTGAAAAACTAACCTTCTTATGTTCCAATACACGGTTTTTTTTTTTTTTTTTGAATTAACATATTTACTTTTTCTACCTATTTTGACTTGTTATCAGAAAAGGAGCTTAATTTACAATCGAAAATTCGCACAAACAAAATGTCTGCTTCTTCAACAAGATTGGTGAGCTTTTTCTCCTATGAAATCTCTACTTTCTGATGGTATAAAAAAATCATAAATTCCTATGGTAAGATTTCTCCGAAAATGCCAAAAAAGTTCAAAACTTTTACTTTTTCACGCCTTTTAGCTTTCGGAAGGTTTTGATTTAAAGGAGAAATCGAAACGACGTCTCATGAACAGCGCTTGTATTTAACCCTTCCTATCCAGCAATCCATTTTCTCTTATACTAGCATATCGAACACCGTGTGAGATATTTCGTCTCAATGAATCAAGCGCAATTCACTAGCATTTTGTTATCGTTAGTGCGTTCCGACATTCTGTCGATTCTGTCTGCCCTAGCAATACTTTTGTCACAGTACTGAATTCCAATTTTATAAAAAAATTAATTCTTTCACCTGTGTTACGTCCATACTTATATTACTAAACGATTGTGTGGATTTTGTGGATTTTGCGTGTTTGCTTTATTCCTTGACTATTCATTGCTGAATGACATTTGGTCTAGGAAAGATCTTATACACTAAGACCATCGGGGACCCGAATAATAAGGCCCGTCTCCAAGTCTATCTATGAACTTTTTGCATCTGTTTAAGCAACCATTTTCTTTTGAGGCAAGGGATTAGCTCCTTTTCCGCTTAACTTCGATAGCGATTTTTAGCGATGGTTAAATATATGCTTATACACTATGTTCTTAAGCAATTTTTATTTATTATTAAAGAAATCATGGAAGTTTTTCTTAAGAATAATTGTAAGAGAACTATGACAATCTAACTACATTATGAAATATTTGTGTTTTATAAAATGTTCGGAAAATATGCTGAAATTAGAAACACCATAATGACAAGGTAAGTCTGTTCCAATAGTTCACCAACGATTTATTCGAAAATCCATAACCCCTGAGCGGCGCGTTCAACCACAAGTGTTGCAATTTAACCGTCAGCTCATTGCACAAAAACAAATACAGCAGTTAGTGCAATAATAACAACAGGTATCCTGCTGTTACAAACAAAAGACTCTGCTGGCTGTTGCTGCTGCACTTTGCGGTCACGCTGCCTGCAACAACGGTAACCGCGTACACTTTGCTCGCCTGCCACATTCATGTTGTAAATGTGATTGCGACACCTAAGCCACTGCAATTGCAGCAAGCCAACAACAGCAAGTGTCTGCCTAACTAAGGCGCAACACTCCTGCTTGCCTGCTGGTTTTTTGGTGTTTCCGCGGAACCTGTTGCCAGGCGCTGGACACGCTTCGCTGCACTTGAATTGTAAATGCTTATGCACATTTGTGGTTTGTGCAACGGCCAATTGGTGGCAAAGGAGTTTTTTGCATAAAAAATGTAAAAAAACATATTGCATCAGTTGGTTATTCACGCGTTGCCAGTTCCATTGTTGTTCTTGTTGCCCGCTTTGTGGAGCTTGCAATTTCGTACGGCAGCGGTGGCGTTAAATTGTTGGCGCGTGCGCGCGATTTTCTTGTTTTTCTCCTTTTTTCCAGATTTATGTTTTTGTTTATGAGGCGCCGCTGTTTACCGTACATTTTTGTTGCTTTCAACACGTTCTCCCACTACTTCAGAATGCTAAACAAAGTATATGCCCATTTTGTTGTTCTGTTACTGTAATTGTTCTGGTTGCGGTTGTTAAGTACTCGCGCGTTTAGTGCCAGCGTCAATCCTGTTTCAAAGCGCGCGCGCGTGCTATGCTCAATGCTTGATAGCCGTGCAGCACAGCAAACAATTCGGCGCGCACATGCGCTTTACGCCGTGCATTGCTCGGCGCTCTGATTGATTTTGCGCACTCGTTTCGCATAAGCAACAACATCGCTTATTCCTGTTGTTCCTGTCATGCTTCGCGCTGTACGCTGTTGTTATTATTGTTGTTCTACCACTTTAGTTGTTACTGTTCTGCTCGCTTGTTTATTCCAATTCCAGTTCTAGGTATATTTGTAATTCCGATTTTTTTGTCGCTGATTTTTGAATGCAGATTGAGCCAGTTTTTCTGCCTTCCTGACAAGCCACAAGCCACCTCGCAGTCATATGCCGCCTTGCTAGTGTGTAAGATCGTGTGTTCTGCATGTTCCTGCATGTTGTTGTGCGGTGTTATACACTTAAGCATATTGTTGTTGGCGTCGCGCAAGTTTTCGATCTGGGAGGCGTGCAAGTGCACGCGCGAAGACACCTGTTCTCTGGCGCCGTCACAAATGTGTTCGACAACAAGTTAATCAACGACGGTGGTGGCGATGGTGCGACTGGGCAAATCGAAAGGATTAATAGACTGGTTTAGTTGAAGCCGAAAATGATGTACGAACATTCGAAGAAGGAAAGAGACACAAAAAAGGTGTATATGAATTATTGAATTAATAGTGGTTGTTGTAGATTAAATTCGGGTTGAGCGCGGGACTGCCATGCAGAGATTCTTTTGGTAACATTTTTTGAGAGATTTGATTTGTCGCGGTGTTCGTGTTTGAAACACGAAAGATCCTTTCAGATTAATTTAAAATTTTAAATGCGAAAAAGCTCAACCGAAAATCTATCAAGAGAGAGATACGTATGCATAGCAGATAAAAGTTGTGCGAAAGAAGCATACCTTCAGGAGCAAACGTTCAGAGGCAGGGTTAAAAACGTTGACGGATTTTGTTTTTGAGGCTTCTATGCAGATATAGTATCTGGTATCTGGGAAAAGAGAAGTATATCTTATTGAAATTATCGTGTCAAGCTGATGACATCTTTTGTGGCGAAACGTTAGTTTTTATACGAACTAGTAAAGAATCATTGGCATCACCCGGTGTCAATGACTGGTCGGTGCAATGAACTACCCGCTGTACACCCATTACGCTTAGAGAATAGCCAAATAATAGACTTCCCACAGTAAAGCACATTTAACGGTAAACAGGGTAACCATATTAAATATGCCAAAAGTGTTGTCCAAATCGTTGAGAGGATGATGAAATGTGTGTATGTAAGCAAAAAGCATGAAAAAGTGTCACTAAACAACGCGCACTGTGCTCACAAGTGGATATAAGTGAGTAATATTGCTTGCCGCTTGCAGCGCTTGGCGACAATTTCCACATTTGTCACGCTGCTCCAAGCTGACCTTTTCCATGCTCCAGAAAATGATGAGTGCATTGCGTTAGTTGGACTCCACGTTGTTGTTGTTGCTGTTACAAGAACAGAGCATAAATATAGCACTAATAATAACAACGCGGTTAACATTTTGCCACCACGCGCAGCTGTACTAGTGTGTGCGCCACACACACACACACACAAATGGCAGCAACGCGTGATGTTTCTATGGAAAAGTGTTGTTTTCAAGAAACTTAAGCGCGTCAGTTGTT